TGATTAGAATCGGATCCAACGTTGCAACGAGATCTAACTTGCTCCATCTCGACATCGGAAACTGTCTTGTTTCCAGCACTCAATGACTCCATACCAGCCGACTGGGGTTCTTCAGAACCTCCAGGTCCTTGAGCTCGCCTCGCAAATGCCATGGTTTGGGCCCCGTCCGACTTCAGAGAATTTTGCTGGTACTGGTGTTGCTGAACTCCACCAAGAGCACATGTGATAGCTGTCGATGAGGTCTGACACGATCCCATAAGAAGGGATTCTCGTCTTGGTGTGGGTACAGGAGTGGCCGAGCCTGCAGGTGACGGCGAACTCTGGCCGGATTCGTAGTCGGTGCGCATTAGCCGCGATTGCTGTGCCGGTAGGATACCATCAATAAACCGGCGTTGTGGTCCTGGAGAGAGCGGGAGCTGTTGATGCAGATTTATATGTGGATGGTGTTGCTGCTGCTGTTGGTTTTGAGACTGATAAGGAGAAGTGTGAGACTGTGAAATATGTGAGCAGTGGAGTTGTTTGGAGTTCATCGAGGGGCTGGTAGCAGTCCCCATTTGAGTAGGAGAATGGTATGGAAGTTGTGGGAGGTGATGTCGTGTGTGCTGTTGAAGAGACTGTGGCGAATGTGATCGAGATTGATAATGTGAGAGCTGTCCCTGTTGTTGAAGTGGTTGGCTCAAATAATGCTGATCTTGGAGCTGCTGGTCCGGAGATGTGACTGAAGTAGATAATGATGAAGAGGAAAAAGAAGAAGAGGAGGTAGGGGGTTGGTGAGTAGGTAGATAAGGCATCTTGCTGCGCTCCAAGGCCAAGTCGGCTGAACCGTCACATACGGACTGACTGGCTGATGTGGAGATGATCCTTGAAGTTCCTACAAGCCGTGGAACTGCTGTTCCGGGTATAAGGTTGAGCCTTGTCGGTGTTTCATCAGGCGGGCGACCTCGACCGGCTGAAGTGGGACTGTTACAAGCAGAAGAGAGAGTACCGAGCAAACCTGTGACCAAGTTGGCAGAGGAACCTTGTTGGTCAATGTCACGGGAGTCTGAAGAGGAAAATGTCTGGGATGGAAAGTTTTGGTTATGGTAGGCAGAATAATGGTTGTAGTTGGACTGGCGAAATGAAGCTTGAGGTGATGGTGGGGAATACTGAAGGGTGGAAAAGCAGAGTAAAAACGGCTAAGAATCTTGTCTTAAAATTTCTGCGAAAACAAGATATTGTCAAAGTCAATGTAAAACAAAGATAGAATTAATCGATATAACCCCCGAAGAGATGTGAATTGAGAACTGTCTATCTTACCTGGTAGGTAAATTTTATGTGGTAATCCAGCAGAGCCTAGGTATAGAGATTAAATGATTTTCTCC